TTTTTTGCAACACAGTCTCGCTGTCACCCAGGCTGAAGTGCAGTGTCGTGATCTTGGCTCACTGCAACCTCCACCTCCCAGGTGCAAGTGATTCTCCCACCTCAGCCTCCAGAGTAGCTGGGATTACAAGCGCACACCACCACACCCGGTTAATTTTTGTATTTTAATAGAGATGGGGTTTCACCATGTTGGACAGGCCGGTCTCGAAGTCCTGACCTCCAGTGATCTGCCCACCTTGGCCTCCCAAAGTGCTAGGATTACAGGCATGAGCCACCTTGCCTGACCTCATTTATTTTGCGTTGAATTTGACTCTTACTTATTTTTCCCTAAAAGAAAAGGGTGCATTTTAAGGGGAAAAATAATTCTGCAAGGTTCCCATTCTGAGATGCTACCAGCAATAAACCCACAGTGGAATTCGCTATTGTTATGGGAGTTATTTTCTAAGCCCGGGACCCTTTTTGTTCTCTTAGATTAATTTTTCCAAAATTTAACCTGTTGTTTCTAGAACAGTAGCAATATCATTTCAGATCCATGAATTCAATGCCTTTCTCTGTATTTTACCCATGCAGATGGCTGGTTTACACTCTTCTGATAAGGTGGGGCCAAAGTTTTCAATTCCATCCCCAACTTTTTCTAAGTCAAGTTCAGCAATTTCAGAGGTAACACAGCCTCCATCCTATGAGGATGCCGTAAAGCAGGTAACCATGTGATTTGTTCTTTATGGAAGAATAGACTGACTCAATGAACAGACATTGTTTTAGATGATTAAACTTCATGCAGTTTGTAAATTCTGATACTGTGTTGTGTGCCTTGCCACCAAAATAAGCAAATTACCTAGACAATAATTGGAAAACAGTGTTGCGTGTATAGCTGTGTGAGGCAAGGAGAGAAGAGGGTCACCTGCCTGGCTTTGGTACCAGCCCTGCTATCTGCCAGCCGCCATACTGTCAATAAGGTGAATGCTTCACCTCTCTTACACAAAATAGGGATAATATTTACTTGGTAAGGATTCTAGATAACCTAGCACATACTACATTGTTCAGGCACATAAAAGGTTCTCAAGTATATGAGAGTGATTGTCAGGGTAATACTTCCTGAGGTTCTCCCCGGCTTTAAAATTCAATGACCCTGGCAAAACATTGATTGGGTGTTGATTGAAGCTGGGTAATAAATGCAAGGAGGTTCATTGTATCCTCTACTTTCATTCGTATTTGGGAAGTCTCAAAATTAAAAAGTAAGAAAAAGAAAAAACAAGGCCGGGTGTGGTGGCTCACAGCTGTAACCCCAGCACTTTGGAAGGCCGAGGCAGCTGGATCACCTGAGGTCAGGAGTTTGAGACCAGCCTGGCCAACATGGTGAGACCCCGTCTCTACTAAAAATACAAAAATTAGGTGGATGTGGCAGTGAATGCCTGTAATCCCAACTACTTGGGAGACTGAGGCAGGAGAATTGCTTAAACCTGGGAGGCAGAGGTTACAGTGAGCCAAGATTGTGCCACTGTACTCCAACCTGGGTGACAAGAGAAAAACTCCGTCTCAAAAAAAAAAAAGAAAGAAAAAGAAAAAGAAAAAACAGTAAACGATCCTGTATTTCAAACAGTCTGAACTTGGATAAGGTATTCGATAGCTTTTATATGTCCTCAACCCAGAACAGAACATCTACATCAGTTGCTGCATACGGGTATCCCACAGATTAAAGTCAGCCAGAAGTTAAGTTCTGTTTGGCTTAAAGAACGTTTTAAATAACAGGAGATGGTATGCAACGTGGGCTTTCTAATTTCTAAAAAATTAGAGGATCTGGCAACCCAGGAGCCACAGTGCTGCGAGTCGACAATTGCCTAAAGCAAGATTCTGCTGCTACTTTGAGCCACAGCTATGCTCTGCTCTCTGCCTCTTTTTCTTATTCTATATTCAGTTCATTCCATTACCTGCCAGTCCCTCAGGCATCTGGTACCTTCTGAAGTGATAAGTGACTCATTTTTTTTTATCAGAAGCATCCACATTGATTTTTGATGCCTGTGTTTATTGAGTCTGGGTTGTCAGAGGAGTGAGATGGATAGATGCCTTTGTTCTCCCCATTCCTCTCTCCTGGTTTCTGTAAACATCAGCTGATCCTTCACAGTTTCAAAAGAAAAGAAAACAGCCAGGCAAAGTGGGCATCCAGAAATAAGACTCTACTGAGATGAGCCAGAGAGGACAGGGCATATCCTACAAGTGTCTACAGGTTCCTCAAGCTATTGCAATGAGGAACCAACAATACGGACCAAGTTCTTGGGCCACGTTGCAGCAACCAAGTGAGAGGTAGATTTAGGTCACTTCAAAGTAATAGCCTAAAAAGGCATTTTGTTTTCTTTTCTTTTTTCTTTTTTTTTTTTTTTTTGAGACAGAGTCTCACTCTGTTGCCCAGACTGGAGTGCAATGGTGTGGTCTCGGCTCACTGCAACCCCCGCCTCCTGGGTTCAAGCGATTCTCCTGTCTCAGCACCCCTGGTAGCTAGGTTTACTGGCACACACCACCACACCTGGCTAATTTTTGTATTTTTAGTAGAGACAGGGTTTCACCATGTTAGCCAGGCTGGGCTCGAACTCCTGACCTCGTGATCCACTTGCCTCAGCCTACCAAAGTGCTGGGATTACAGGAGTGAGCCATCACAGATAGCCAAAAAGGTATTTTCTATATATTATGATGTCCTGCTCCTGGGATGAAAACTGTTATGTGTAAATATTTGGTGCTGCACTGGAATATAAATTTCCTCAGCAAGGCAATTTACTTCTATAGAAGGGTGCGGCTCACAGATGGAACAATGGTGAAGGCACAGCTGGACAAGGGAAGCGAAGCGGTTCTTATTCCTGATGGAGGTTGCCCCTACTGCTATGTCATTACCCTATTGGCTAGGGTTAGACTGCACAGTCTAAGCTAATTCCAATTGGCTATTTTAAAGAGAGCAAGGGTATGAGCTGGAGTGGCGGGGTGGGTCATTTGGCGGGAAGGACAGTTACAGGCAGGTCAGAGCAGGTAACCAGGGGTCAGAGCAGGTGACTGGAGCAGGTGACCCGGATGAGTCAGGATGGAACAGGGGAACAGATGTGAACTACTGAGTAGAACTGGTGGAAAGGTTTTTACTGAAACTACAAGGAAGTTAAACTTTGAAATGGAGAATTAAAGAATAAGAGAGCTGAGCATACTGACATACTGATTCTTTGAAGAGAAACTTGGAGTTCACTGTATCTAACAAAACCTCTCAAACAACTGAACTATCTCTAAAGTACTCTGTGCTGGGAAGCATTCTGCCTTCTTTCTCCCTTCTCCTGTTGTAGTAGATTGTTTAATTCAGTAGTTTATATGCCTAAAATTAATACTGAAGCTTAATCAAACAGGGTTAAAAAAACCTTTAGGCAATAGACCCATGTTCATAGCAGTGTTATTCACTGTACCCCGAAGATGCAAACAGCCTAGATGCCCATTAACAGATGAACGGATAAACAGCATGTGTTATATCTATACAACGGAATTTTATTCAGTCTTTAAAAAAAAGAAATTCTGACACGTAGCACAACACAGATCAACCTTGAGGACATTATGCTTAGTGAAATAAGCTAGTCACAAAAGAACAAATACTGTCTGATTCACTTATATGAGGGACCTAGATAGAATAGACAAATTCGTAGAGACAGGAAGGAAAATCGTGGCTTCCGGGGCTAAAGGATGGGGCGTGGGAAGTTAGGGTTTAATGCACACACAGTTTTAGTCTTGCAGGATGAAAAGAATTCTGAAGATAGATGGTAGGGATGGTCACACAACAATGTGAATGGACTTCATGCTACTTAACAGTACACCTAAAAACGGTTGATAGTAAATTTAAAGTTATGTGATTTTACCCCAATTAGGAAAAAAAAAAAAAAAAAAAAAAAAACTTAACCAAACCTAGTTCAACAACCTGCAGTGCTGCATCTAATGATTCCCTGCAGAGATGACCACCTTCTAACCTGTCTGTCCTCCTTTGGTTAATCTGCAATAGCAAATGACTCGGAGTCAGCAGATGGATGAACTCCTGGATGTCCTTATTGAAAGCGGAGGTAAGACTGCCTGCGGCCTGTCCATTAGGACATTCTGAGCTTGTGTGGATTCTAAGGAATGAACTCTTGGTAGCAAGATCAGAAGTACACTGAGTTGGATGTACTAGGTAGTCCTCAGGGAGAGTCTTTTTTTTTTTGGAGATTCCTGAGCATTATTAGAGCTGATAAAAGAAGGCATGGTGGATGATTCTTCACTGCCTTTGTCCTGGGAGCATTTTTCAGCAATCATTTTAATAGTCTTCATGTTTCAGCCTAACCCTTGTTTCCTTAAATATTTTCTCTTGCAGCACTATTTTTTTCTATGTTCTAATCCCAATGTCCCTGCCTTCTCAATTATAAGAAAAGGAAAAAGCAGATAATGAAAGTTTTGTGCTACCTACTCAAAATGCAATTCAATTAGTAACCTTCCACTGGATGGTTCATTCATGCTTAAATGTTATTCATGCTAGCAATAAAACATAATCAACACGTTCTTTTTGTTGCCTTTTAATTTTTTTCATTTATTTACTTAAAAAAAAATTACGGAGTGTGTGCCTAGGATTTGAAACCACACACATGAATAAGATGACCCAAGGAGGATGTGTAGATAAAAAGAAAAGAACTCAGGGCAGAATCCTTAAGCAAAAAAATTTAAAGTTTCAGAGAAGGAGGTAGCAAAGGACTTGGAGAAGAGGTAGCCAGGTATCATGTTGGTCTCTGGGATACATCAGACAAAGTCCTGATTTTTATGGAGTTTACAGTCTGGTAAGGGAGACAGACAAGAAGCAAGTGAATGGAGCTTCCTCCACTGTAACAGGAAGGAAGAAGAAAGAGATGGGCACAGACATATGTATGCATATGAGTTCTGTGACGGAAAGATGAGAGAGTTCATATTGGATGCCCTCATGCATTTCTAATGAAGTATGTGGCAAGGTCAGCAACACATGAGGATGCGGAAGGGGAGTGTGGAAGATTCAGGGGAAGAAGAGCAGTTATGACTTCATCCTGAATGAATTGAGTTTTCTGGAGAAACACAGCAGGGTGGTTTTGTAGTCTTAAATGCCAATTGTAGGTCTGACATCAGGAATCTAAAGCGAAACCCAGTCAGCTTAGTTGAATTTTTCTCTTGCAACGTTCTGGTGATCCAGAGCATGCTTAGAGAAGGCGAATGATCAGGTTCATCCAGGTGTGGGGTTCTGCCAAAAATATAGTCTGGACAAGGAAAGAGGTGAAGGCCAGAGGGGCTGGTGGACAGTGATAATGTAGCAATCTATGGATTGGCATGACTGTGAATGGTTAGGAAATTATTGTTATGGGGTGCTTGATAAGTGGCCTGGAGGGATGGGAGAGGATATTGCTTGAAAAGAGAGAGTAGAAAATACAGCTTGAAAGCCAGCTTTCAGCGGGATGCAGTATTTGGAGATGACACGATCCAAGGTGTGTCTTATGGGGTGGGAATGGGGGAATTGCTGGAGTTGAGGAGGAAGTCAAGAGCTGAGAGGCCAGCATGAACACTGTGATTTCCGAGGATGCTCAGGTTATAGAATAAGAAGGGTTGAAGTGGGGAAAAGGCAGTGGACTAGGAAGTAGAGTTTTCAGTGGATAAGGAGGAATGACCAGGAGGCTAGGGGTGAGGTGTTGGTGTCACCCTCAAACCCCAAAACTGCTGAGTTGTCGTCAGAAGGACGGGGAGTAGCAAATCAGAAAGTGGCAACTGCATAGCACCTGATCCCTCATCTTCAGGCCCTTGCTGAGGGTGTCAGGATGGACTCAGTGTTCTCAAGGGACTACCAGGGGTTAAAGAAGGAGTAAGTACAGGAACCTTCAAAGAAGAGGTTAATAGTCACAGAGTGGAATTCCCAGGAGGAAAGGGTTTGGGGAAAGACTGGAGGGAAGATGAATTGGAGGACGACAGAGCAGCTTAGAGATGAGACTGGGTGGTGAGGGGGATCAGGGAAGTGTGGCGTCTTCTGTATCTAAGTGTAACTTACTCACATTGCATGGCATGCTCGATTTGAAGTGATTTTAACAAGCCACATCCTGTTTTACCCACAGAAATGCCAGCAGATGCTAGAGAGGATCATTCATGTCTTCAAAAAGTCCCAAAGATACCCAGATCTTCCCGAAGCCCAAGTGCTATCCTTCCCAAGCCCTCAGCTTCCTTTGAACAAACCTCTTCAGGCAGCCAGATCCCCTATGATCCCTATGCCACCGACAGTGATGAGCATCTTGAAGTCTTGTTAAATTCCCAGAGCCCCCTAGGAAAGGTGAGTGATGTTACCCTTCTAAAAATTGGGAGCGAAGAGCCTCATTTTGACGGGATAATGGAGGGATTCCCCGGGAAGGCTGCGGAAGATCTCTTCAATGCACATGAGATCTTGCCAGGACCCCTCTCCCCGATGCAGACACAGTTTTCACCCTCTTCTGTGGACAGCAATGGGCTGCAGTTAAGCTTCACTGAATCTCCTTGGGAAACCATGGAGTGGCTGGACCTCACTCCGCCAAGTTCCACACCTGGCTTTGGCTCCCTCGCCACCAGCAGCCCCAGCATCTTTAATATCGATTTCCTGGATGTCACTGATCTCAATCTGAATTCTTCCATGGACCTTCACTTGCAGCAGTGGTAGAATGCCCGATGCACCAGTGCTATGGAAGACCAATAGGAATTCCACGGGGGAAAGCACACAACCATACATACATTACGATCCAAAAATAAAAAAGAAGGGAATTAAAAAGAAGCAATGGAGACTTCTGTGGCAATCAACAAGAACAAATAGAAGTCATTTTTAAAAATATGTATTCTGTAATAGTTACCAACATTCAGTAGCTGTGAATGATTTCAACAATGTATTCAAAAATGTGCTTTCTCAGGTTAAGAATGCCAAAAAATATATTTCACTGCCTTTTCAAAGACCAGTATATTTTCTAGTCCATAATTTTTCTCAGACTTTGTTGGGGCATAAGCTAACACTTTAAGCTTTTCTCATGAATTCACTAGATCTAACGTGGAAGGAAAATGAAGTCTTTTGGGAGTACAGGGAAGCCAGACCCTCAAAGGTTATGGAAGGCGTACCTGCGACAGAAGCTGCTGCCCAGGGTCTCCATTACCTATCTTTCAAAAGAGAAGGCAGACTCAGCTTCAGTTCAAAAGTTCTTGAGACAGAGAGACAAAACCAATCTACTTCCAGAGAAGCTGAATCCACTCAATGTCCCTCTGCCACAAAACTGCCGCACTGGAGTGGTTCTGAACTTATACCCAGGACTCTGTGTGGTCACTGATAACAGTTAACCTGAACTGAGTCCACAGAACTTTCTTCTATTTTAACCAGTGGCCCAATCATTCCCACCATCCTTGTGCTGATAAGTATGTGTCCTAGGTGAGAACCCTGAAGAATGCGGACTTTCTTCCCCTGAAGGAGATGCCACAAGCTCCCCAACACAGCCCCCTTTAGTTCCAAAGACTGGAGATGACCAAATGGGCAGAAATATATCTCTAGGGACAGGAAAAAAGCTGTGCCAGAGAAAATTCAGACAGTCCTAGAGAATAACATCATTTCACATACCCTGGGATAAATACCCTGGGTTCCTATAACAGGACTATTACTTATGCAAGTCCACCTCTCCTTTTGCTTTCTTCTTATCAGTTTATCTTTCTCCCATTCCACTTTTCCTTCAAGGTACCGGTCCTTTCCTGTTCCTCATTTGACATCTTTCTTTTTCTGCCCCAACATTGGGAGGGAAGGAAATCTCAGTTCTCACAAGCTGCCATAATCCGAAGAAAGCCATTTTTGAAAAAATTAACAATCCAGGTTCTCCTGAAGAACTCATTCTCCAAACACACAGTTTGCTGCAAAAGGAAGTTACAAGAATTTCTTTAGGAAGAAACTGGTGACTTGGTCCATCCGTCACAAAGTTCTTTCTAGTCTCACTTAATTTTCAAGAAATTATTGGTTTGTGTTGCCCTGGGGAAATTGGAAATCATAATATTGTAAAGATAAATACGGATGATATTTACAGGAGAGAATTTCAGATCTGGGTTTTTGAAAGAAAACAGAATTGCACATTGAACACGATGGAAGGAAAAAGACAGCGGTCCAATGTGCATTCCTCATTACCTCTCGTGGCTTTGGCTGGGAGTTGGAAAAAACTAAAATTTCAGGACAGTCTCTGTAAGGCTCACTGTGGCTCCAATTCACCATTTTATATTGTTGCATGCTGTAGAAAGGAGCTATTGCTGTTGTTTTGCTTTTTTATTTAAATCACTAAGGCACTGTTTTTATATTTTGTAAAAAAAAAATGTTCACTGTGCACTTATAGAAAAAATAATCAAAAATGTTGTGATTTTAGAAGCTCTCTTTTTGATAAACCAAAGATTTAGAAGTCATTCCATTGTTAACTTGTAAAAATGTGTGAACACTGAGTGTTTTTGGTGATTGCTACTCTGAAAGCTGCCAGATTTTATTCTGGGGGTGGGATGGGAGGGAAATACACATACACACACAGACACACACATGTGTATAATAGATATATACATATGTGTATATTATATCGGTGTGTGCATGTATCTTCAAAAGCAGTGTTACAGAGTTCTACACCAAAAGCCTTTAGCCCTTAATCTGCTGTGAATGATACCTGGCCTTTCTCACTACGAATTCCTGATTAATCAACCAGACTACACGTTGCCTCTCTGTGTATGACTAAGGACTCCAAACCGATGATTCACAGCTACTTGCTTATCGTGAACAAGCTCATCTTGGCGATGAATATGGACTTGAAAAGACAGAACGGCTTCACCATTAGTAGCTGGAAATGGTATCACAGTCTCTTATAAAGAAGTATGAAAGGAACATGAAAATCATTTTACATTCCTTCATCTGCATTGTGCTTTAACAGATCCACATGGTAAATTTTTTATTTTGCTTTTATGTCAGTCATCAGAACCAAAAATCCAGAAGAAAAAAACTGCCAGTGTTTCCTTTGAAGATGAAGCTATGGGGAAGAAAACCTTATTAACACATTCCACACATTTGTTCATTCCTCAAATGTTGATGTTTCCTTGGGGTCTTGACAAAGCTTGCTGGTCAGTATACTTTTCAGGTGTCACGTTTTGCTGTTTGTATGTTATTTTTCTTGCCCTTCCTTTGGAAAACAAACTCACACTGTGCCCCTACTCTGAGACCCGGGACTGAGTGTTAATTATTTTTTTCCTTGGGTATGTCTGTCTGAGAGATGAGACCTAGTTAGGAGGCCTCTGTGCTTCTCCAGATCATGACTTTTTATGGGGATCTTTTACGCTATGACCCAGGACAGATAGACATGCCTTACAGTAGACAAAACATAAAATGGTTCTCATATCCTAATGCAAACCAACACAGTTAAAAGAGCAGATCGCATTTTTTAGTAGAGACGGGGTTTCATCGTGTTGGTCAGGCTGGTCTTGAACTCCTGACCTCGTGATCTACCTGGCTCAGCCTCCCAAAGTGCTGGGATTACAGGCGTGGTGGGGCACACCTGTAATCCCAGCTATTCAGAAGGCTAAGGCAGGAAAATCGCTTGAACCCGGGAGGCGGAGGTTGCAGTGAGCCGAGATCGTGCCACTGCACTCCAGCCTGGGTGACAGAGCGACACTCCATCTCAAAAAAAAA